CGACCAAGCAGCTTACATTCGATAACTGCAATACCGTGAGGGTGAAAAATTAACAATAAATGAAAATGAAAATTAAATAAAAAATATAGTTATGAAATTCGTACTTAGGAAATACAGAGGCACTCGTGGCTTCCTCTCAAAAGATTTAAAAAGAAAAAATATACCAATGTAACTGACATGAAAGGAAAGGAACAAGAAATGTTTCGACGCATCCATTATGCAAAACCCCCAGCGCTATCAGCAGTGTTTAACAGAGTTTAAACTGGATTTAAAGAGAACCTCCGTCGAATACTGCTAACATAGGTTTAAGGCAACGGTGATAGAACGGCGCGAATGATCACGTTTTGAATGAAAAATCGAAGGACTTACTGTGCAACGTCACAAAGCAAAAGCAATAGCCACAACTTCGGTATTCGCAAACCTAAGTCGGAATTGATGACCAGCATATCTGAAAAAGTATATAGCCATAATCAATAGGAATAAACACTTACTCGAATCATTGAAAATCTTGATATGAGTAATAATATCACTGGCCATTAGCAGAAATGCCGGCAATGACAACGCGTGCTGAAAGTGAACAACTAATTGGGTGCGAAAAAAATTTAGCAAAAAATTACAGCGCTGAAAAACTACAAAAACTGCAAATCAACACGGTATGCAAACAAATGTAAAAAACTTAAAAGCAAATACAGAAATACGATGGACTGAACAAAAAGTGAGAATGGACAGATAACAACAGAAAGCACTCGTCAAGGAAGACTTCGCTATAACAACGTGAACTTTTGTGACAAAGAAAGTCTAAGCTGGAAGAAGAAACGTAGAGCAAAGTCCCACATACTGGTTTCAAAGTAAATCGGTCATAAATGTAACATACAGATGAGAATGTGAAGAGAAGTAAATCTTATAGCGAGCAAATTATTAAATTGTTGACTTGAATCACGGAACGAGAAACGAATATCATTACGCAGTCCTTCTACTGATATTATCGTATTATGTTCCGATATGAATTACAGTTTGGAGTGACAGCTCAAAATATCCCAAATAATAACTGAAAAATCCGTCCATTCTTTTCTTGCATCATCGTAGCACAAGGCAACTACGTTTTGAAACAACATATCACAGCTTAACGCGTTAAATTGAAGGCAATGTAAAAAATGCAAGAAGGAACAACTCCAGTTCAGATATGGAACACAATAAAGCGTCACATATACCACTTAAAAACCTAACCAGTGCTTGAAAATGCAAATGAACTAATATAATGATCATCCGATTAAAAATGGTAAACCACTGTGAATTAGAAAAAACCACCATTTGTGTCTAAAGATATACCGAGGAATGCTGTGACGTAAATTTTCAGATAACTGTGCAAAGAGCAGGTTGACAAATAAACGTGAAACGAACAAAACTATCATTACCACATAGAACATCGCTTCCCTAGGGTGTTTTCCATACCGTTCGTAAAGCTGCTCTTGAAAAATGCCCAGAAAAGAAGAAAATACAAGTGCAAAAATGAGCATAGCCACGCCTATAACAGCAAAAACAATATCGAATTCAGCACGCAATCTAAGCTACCTGTCAAGAGACGAAAATCGAACGATGCTTCTGCGACATCAGAGTAACGCTGAAAGCCAAAGTGTATCTAATGCATGACTCAATTGGTGACCTGCTTTTGATGTCGCTAACGTGCAAATGACAATTCCAAAGGTAATGATCGTCACAGAGAGATATTTTCTGTACGAGTACTGTCTGTTCAGCAACCATCGCCCGAGCAGCAAATTTGTAACAAGAGAGCCCTATGGTATTTCCATTACAGGTTTTAATATAAGTTAAGATAGTAATTCATACCGATCTGAAAATAATGTGTAAAGGAACAGGAACATTAAAATTTAGAGCCTGGTTGTTAATAACACTGACGGCAAAGGAAACAATCACAACTTTCAGATAGGCACTAAAACATCTGTTAGAACAACATTAGCAATTTCCTAGCGGCACCGAATAGGAATATGATTCTTTCTCCTTAGGTAGTTTGTACCGAAAATAAAGCCTTCGAGCGCGATCACCAAGAACGTCGAAAACGTCATCAAATTCATACAGCCAGGATCTTCCCTAAAAGAAAAATTCCGTTTCTCAATGAGAGTAGAGAGAATCAGTAAAATGTAAGTATTCTTAGATGTACAGCAAAGACGTTTTTCAACTGCAAAGACGTTTTTCAACCTTCACAAAATTCCGTCCTTAGTTTGCGAAAAGAGAATAAGTAATGCCGTAAAGATATTTCTGTCACAAATGAGAAATATCATGTATACAAGACATTTGATACGATATGAAATATCCTTGAAGAAATAAAGTTCTGATACTATCATTTTGTTAATGCATTCGTTTAACCTGTAGCTAACGACGCTTTGAAACAGAAATTCATTTTAGCATGGAATTTGAATAATTATTAGAGATGCATTTGGAGGATAATATAACAATTAGAAAAGTCCCAGAGACAGACCTGATTGCAATGATGAATATCACTTTTACTGAAGAAGTGAACGTTACATATTGTCAATACAAAATACAAGTTTTGGCGATAATACAATATAATGTGGAATGCTTTGCTGCTTAAGCTCTGCTTGTTTCAGATGACAATTACAAAACAACCACAAAGCAATGGTACGTTTGTCATGAATCAACTCAAGTAAAACGATGGGCATACCTGTGTTACCTGAGAATATCAGCGATGGGTTAACAGAATGCTACTGAAGACTGAAGGAAACTTTTGCAGTACTCTACGTTTTGTCGTGATAATTTTTGCAAGATTTGTTAACGCAAGACAACTGAGAAAAGAATATAGACTACAAATATAATTTTTGAATTACACTGCCCTAAAAAATGGAAAGAATTTTAACACTTAAATATTCTGTTCAAGAGAAATTTTTGCAAACGTTAGCGATCGGAAACTGGATTTTTATAAGTGAGAACAGAGGAAATATATACAACTACAGAGCTGCTTAGCAGCGTGTTCCAGAAATAGCAGAACGGTCAAATTTTAAAGACCAGAATGAAGTCCTGACGATATTTTTCGATTTTGTTCCAACTCCTTGTTCAGCGTCTTGTCCAAAAACAAATACAAAAAGCAATCACAGACGATGTTACAGCAAACAAAACATTAAGAGGAATAACTGTGGCCAAAAGATTCCAAGAAACCTAATAATAACTGGAACATTTGGTAACATCGCAGCAATCAAAAAGATGACAAGCGACAGCGCAGCTTTAAAAATGTCCACCTGGGGTAAGAAGACAAGCCTTCTAATTAAACCGATAAAAATATATTTTCTGCTCGCATATGAAGGGTTACATTCAGCGCGAGACAATATCGTAACAAAGTGGCACGATCCAAAATT